CAATTATTTTAGCAAAACAACAAGTATACATTAAAACAATAATATAAAACAGAGTGTAAATCTTAATGGTTTCCATGATGCTTTGTTATAAAACTTATAATGCAGTCAAAATGGCTGCACGAAAACATACAATTCTGACGACATTTTTAAAAATACATTTTGACTGTACTCTGGTGTTTGTAGATGCTCTGTTTATTAAAGGGCTCCGCTTAAGTGAGATTTTGAGGTACTTTCCTGTTACTTTCGGTTTCTACTCCACCAAATTTCAGAGGAAAATATTGTACTTTTGTACTATTGTATGTAAATATTATACATACACATCTCAGCTTCTTAACTTCAGCTTGTACACAATATCATGTGTTATAGATTGAGCTGAACAGTAGTATGTAAAGAAGTACAGTTGTCTCCATATTGGCAACATGAGTGCTGCTTAATCACAAATGCATCTATTGCAACAATAATAATCCCGCAATATAATACATAAAACATCTACATAATGAGTACTTGTAATTTTGTTAATAATACTTCTGTACCTTTACTCAGTGGTGGAGAAAGTATTCAGAATACTTCATTAAAAGTACCATTAAAACAATGTAGAAATACTCCATTACAAGTAAAATAAATAAAAAATAAAGTATGGGTATTATCAGCTGAATATATACATTGGCCCATCTGAGTGTTACATTATGTGTTATTGTATCATTATAGATGCATTATTACGTGTATAATTTTAATGTTGTTGGTCAAGATGGGGTTAATTTTAAAGTACCTCAAAAATTTATTTCATTACAGCACTTGAGTAAATGTTATTAGGTACTTTCCACAACTGCTTTGAGTTTTGAATACAAAAGGTTTAAGTATTTTTGAAGTATAGTTGTAGGATCAAGACAATAACAATGATCAATAAGAACACACAAACTGCAAAACTACACGTTTAATATTTATTCTGTTTCAATTAAATGCATTACATATTCTGGCCAAACCTCCCAATAAGGATTTTTTTTTTCTTACATGTTAGAAAGTACAAAATAAAATACAATTAGCTTTAGTTTTAAAACGGCTTTATGGGTAAGCCTAAGAAACGTAAGTGGTTCTGGATTTGAAAATTGAAGGAGTCTGTACAAGTGACAGCAACATGTCTGTTGGCCTGGAAATGTGACAGAATGAAACCATAAACTTTAGTATGACAAGAGACGGTGAAGAGCAGACAGACGACTCCTGTTCTTTTGTATTTACACTTAAACTGCAATATGAAAGACGCACTGAGTAGGAAGTGCAGCAACCACAGACAGTAAAACACGAGATGGGGAAACTATGGCTGTGCTCATTCGAAACAAGGCCAGAAAGAGAACATCCGAACAGGAAGAAGTGTCCAAAATGTTGTGCACTGTTTGGTCAGAAATTAGCAAAGGAAATGAAAACAAAGGCCTCCTGCTCTTCAACCAAGCCTTCCCTCATTCAGAACCTGTCTATCACAGTTTAGCACTCGGTGTTAAGCAACGTAGTTTTTGAAAAACACAAAATTGCCCAGCAAGAAGAAGAAGAAGAATCACTGGCCGACCGACTGCTGTGTGGGCGTTAACAGGAATGAGGTCGCACTGCAACGGGAGCGTTTATCCTCACAACACAGCAGCAGGTTTTTTTTTTGCAAGTTAAATCGCTGCATAGCCTGAAGTGGACAGACAGAAGACAAACTGCTCCACCAAAACGCAGAGAGACTAATCCACTTTTACTGACTTTGTGTAAGACTTTGAAATCCAGTTAGCCTGTCAGGAAGGCAAAAGGAAAAACATCCTGAAAAAAAAAAATAAACAAGTTCATACAAATGTTAACAAAAGAAGCACCAACAGTGGCACACTTTGAAATCAGACCTGGGTGAGGTTCGTGAAATGGATACCGACTACTTGAGTAAGTTGATTCTTCTTAAAATATACTTCTATCATTAAATATAGTAGTTACCCAAAGCAGCCTCACAGTATGGCCGGATCTGTGTGGATCAATCAGGGTTAACAATAGTATTTAACACAATTCAATTAATGCATGAGTAAACAGAGCAGGTAAATATGATGATGATAACCCAGTTTCTATTATGAAACGTGTCTGGTAATGTCCAAACTTAACAATTTATCATCCACATTTCAGCAAAAAAACAAAAAAAAAACACATTCAGGCCACATTAATAAAATGTCTTGTAATTGCCCAGAATTTGCTTCATACTCATTAAAAGTATTTAGTATTAATACAACTTTTTAGAGCTGAACTATCCAAATCTCAGAAATTGCATGTTGGACAAAGCAGTTATGTTCTTGTTTTGTGAAAACCTTGGTAGTGTGCCCTGAAAATTAATGCTAACTAATATGTAATCGTTACATGATTACTAGATGTAGTTTTGTTCCTTTCAGTGTCTCCCCAAAACATGAACCTTATAACGCACAGAACATATGCTGGGCAAAGCAATACTGATATTTAAAAAGACATTAAAGTGTCTAGAAGCTGAATGTGGTACCTGTGATGGATTTGTTCAATTTTAGTATAAATCTGCACATGCACTTCACATATACGAGGACTGGTAAACTTCCAGTTAAATTAAACAAAAATATCTCCTCTGCCGTCATACAGGACTGGAAAAGTATATGGTCACTCCCTTCCCAACGACTGACTTGCATTATTAAACTTTGTTAGAGTGCCTCCAAAAACACTTTTGTTTCCCGAGCTTGCTGTCTCACAACTACACACAATTCAAGGTTTGGAAGATTAGCCAACAGCGAGAGGGAAATGTGGTGGGGGGGGGTTTCGGGGCTCTAAAAAAATTAGCAAGTCTATTTTTATCCTAAGAAATCTCAAAAAATTCTCAATATAACTTCCAAAGCTAGAATGAGCTGAATTTTAATTAAGTGTAGTGAGCACTGTTATTAGTGGATAAAGACAGGACTTTCGACAAAGCCATTTCAATCTAGTTTTGAGCGTATGTTTAAATAAATTACATTCTGGAGGGTTAATGTGGCATTCGTAGCCTGGTTGTTGAAATAAACAGAGCAATCCTAACATCTGACAATCTCTAAATCCATATTCACTGCATTTCATTCAACAATTGATTCCTTAGAGCATTCACTCCATCTTGGTCCTCTCCTCCAAAAACGAAACCACACAGACCAACAGGATGGAAGAGAAACACGGTACTGCAATGCCAGTGAGCAGTGAACACAGTCTGGGGAGGAGGGGCGTCGAAAGATTCAGAGATGGGTTTATTCTAAGAAAGTCTCTTCAAGGGGGTCAGCAGGTGCTGCTGAATCAGTCCTATACAGTCCCCACTTTGCTTTGGTGCTTTCTGGGCTGGGCCAGGCTGTGCTGTGCCGTGCTGAGCCGTGCCAGTGGGGGAGGAGGAGGGGAGGAGGAGGGGAAACGAGCTCCTCAGGAGAGTTCAGACTTGCTGAGTGCGATGGCCAGCTCCAGGTCTTCTTGTTCCTGCTGGGTGAGCCTGGCAAGTCGCTCCTTTTCCTCTCGCTCGCTCTCGCGCTTTGCCCACTCTATCATGTCTTCCTCTGTTGGATACTGCTCCGTGAACACAGAAAACACACACACACACACCACATCACATCACAAGGGGGAAGGAAAGAATAACACATATGCAAAGAAATATGGGGGGAAAGGAGACACAAACAGACAAACACATGTACAGTTAACAGATTCTCAAAGATGAAAAACTTTTAGAGTCTGCTGTTAACAGATAAACAATACCAACAATACAACAATAACAACAATACCTGGATGATATAATGCATGCCACTATAATGAGGCATTATAAGCTCCATAAAGTAACAGCTAACTGCTAAAGTGTTGCTGTATTTTGTGTCTGACCCTGAACATACACGTAATCTATATTATATAGGTCAATATTAGTTTTCTTTTTAAATGAACACACGACATAACAAACATTTACAATAAAAATACCTTAAATTTGTTTAAGAGTTGTGACCGAGATGAGCTGGATATTTTAGTTGAAAATTGAACTGGTCAGAACTCTGTGGTGGACAAACTACGTAACAGTTTCTCAACTTTGGAATTTCTGAACTATAATTTCTTGTCTTCTTTTTCTTTAAGATTATTTTTGAGGCATTTTTACCGGGAAATGAGGGGACCAGGTACCAGGGATGTTTCAGTTTACATGGTACGCATCTCAGCCCCAAGGCCACTGTAAGTCAATATCAATGTATCTGTCGGGCTCTAACAGTGATGATGCAGTAAGTCACAGAGAAAGACATCCTTAAGTGTACTGTGACTTATGAATCAAATTAAATACATTTCTGTGTCTTGAACATCACACGAAAATTACACCAAACCTTTTATTTTATTTTATTGCATCATAGAAGACACCTCATCTCCCTGTAGTATTTCCACACATCCGGTTTAACTTTTGTGGGGGATACAATGGGCAAGCCATGTGATTTTGGAATGACGGGAATGATGCAAGCTCCCCCTTGTGACATTTCAAAATCAGTCAGGAAATTAATATCGGACTGTACGTTGGCGATTTAGACAGCTTCTTTAAGTCACTCATGTGAGGATATTCATAATCATCCCGATAATGTAAATTAATCACGATGCTCAATAATATCATATATCCCTACCCGCTACCAAAACACAAGCAAACTATGATCATGAAGGATAGTCTTTGCCTCCAGGCATGTGTCATCACACATCTCGCGGTGGCATGTGATCTGGATAAAAGCAGGGACTCAAATGGGATAGAGGCATGAAAACAGGACTCTCCACTTATGAATGAATTGCACCAGTGTGAACAAAATCAAATTTGCATGTTCACAACCACAAAAGGCGAAGGACAGAGACTTTAAAAACACACAGTACGCTGGTTATGTCAGTTAATGATTACAGACCGGACATGTGCTGAGTCAAGGTTCATAACTCTGAATGAATGACAGACAGAAGCCTCACAGTGTGTGTGTTCACCCATGCAAAGGAAAGGAGGAAGCGATGAAGACGTTCACGAGGAGGTATTTTAGAGCTGATGAACTGATGATTTCCGTGTAGAACAGGGCAGAACATGCATGATGAGAACATTTAAGAAACGTGTAACAGATTTAGTAGAGAACATGCATTTATTACTTGTAGGCGATACCTCCCATTGCTGCTTTTAAATATGAATAAAATCAGACATCAATAAAGTACTTAGCAAGAGGAATGATGCGTTTTAATGCGAAACTTAAAGAAACCCTACACATATCTGGTACTTTTGTCTTTACCGTCTTTAGAAGAACCATACTGTTGTTTTTGCATGATTTAGTACAACTCATCCGTCATATTATTGCCAAACATTTTCCAAAGCATACCACGCTGTAGATTATAGGAAGCATTTTTCCGGCTTAGATGTAGCAAAATATGTAAATTTAAACTTTCACAGACCTAAAACTTGCTTGAGATCAAACTATCACAATTAATAACATGTCACATCTTCATTATTGTCAAATGCAAAACAACAATTCAGACATTACATAACCCACAAACAAAAGTAGGCGGCTTGAAAAGGATGAAAATAATCTTGAATTTAAAGCATGCTTTGGAACACGTCAGCGGTGATAAATGTGGTAAATGAACTGCAAATGTAAAAAAAAAAACTTTGGTATGGTGCTTTTAAAGCTCAGGCTTTTGCAGATAGTGGTGTCATGGATGCACATAGAAGCCAGAGATGGTGCCCTTGATTCAACTCTTTATTCAACTTTTTTGACAGAGTAGTAGAGACACAGAGAGAACACAGGCGATCTGTTTCTCAAGCAAACAAGGGCTGAATGATCGGGTGAAAGGAAGGGATGGATGGATGGATGGATGAACAGATGGATGCATGGATAAATAAATAGCGGCATGTGTAAAGGAAAACAAAACACAACACTGATTTGAGGGATGGCGGAGGCAGTGGTATGAGTGAATGAGAGCCAGCTAATCAAACACACAGTTAGTGCGTGCAGGTCGGGGGTTCAACGGGGACATGCGGGGTGCAGTCATGTGACAGAGAGGCAATAGAGGTCTTTTACTAATCGTCATCCATCCCAAATCCACAGCATGACAGCACATTTCTATGCAGTATTACAAAAGGGAAGAACTGAGAGGATTTTAATACTGTTACTAATTTATTCCTGATATGTCAACAGGGGTTCAACCCAATATATAATAATAATAATAATAATAATAATAATAATAATAATAATCCAGTTTTGCCTCAACAATTATAACTTTGTAATTTTTCTGCATGTTAAATATATGATTATATGCACATATTTTAATGAGTCAGAAGAAAGAAAGACAGGGAACTGTAATTCCCTTGTTCTTCTCGGTTAAAGAAGTAAAATTATAACATCAACCTTGCTAGAAATCATTAAATATGGTCTTGCTCCAAAAAGCATCTTTAGTGTAGTTTAGCTGCTACAAAGATTTCCTGGAGCATATTTAATCACTGAGTTTGTAAAACTGATCTCTTTGTGAAACTTCAAGTTTAAAGGTTGAAACGTTCAGTAATGGGATCTCACTAACGATGCAGCGGGCACTGCTCTGCACCTCCTTAGTCAAGGTCAGCTGATGTAATGCCTCTAGGACACAGTTGTGCCGGCTCAGCGATATATTGACTCTGAGTCCAGTCAATGGTCAGACCCAGAATGACTACGTTGAAATTTAGAGATGAAATTTCAGTGTAAAAAGGTGCATAAAATGAAACATTTTTGCAATAAAATATATCTTTCAGAGTGAAATATGCACATGCTGTAATGTCAGTGTGCTGGGTTGGGATGGCTAACAGAAGCCAAATACAAGCAGCCTCTCATCTCTCCATTCACTGCCAACCATTAGGAGGGACTTAATAGGATATAATAAAGATAGTTGTGTATAATCTATTAATTTGTAACACAACTTGTATCTGTTATTACAAATATATCAATGTATCTATCATTTCTATAATGACATTTCTGTACATTTCCTTTTAAAATAAGACAGTGCAACTTCAATCATAGGGCTTAAATTAAGTGCAATCCCAGTATAAATCAGTAACAAAAAATAATTCGATTACAAGTATAAAGAATCTTTACATGGCAAGGAAATATTGCATTCATATTAAAGAGCTAAAATGTACACCAGCAGCAGACACGATGCAGGAAAAACAAACTAAAATATAGAAGAAGCTTCTGTAAGTTTAGCTCAAGAAAACTGTAGCGTTAAGAACCTGTGCTACCATGTGACAGTAAGCTGATTAGTTCACTTCTTTGGGACTTTTTAATGGCAGTGGATGGAGTGATTTTTAAAGCTGGCATGATTTGCTTGATGGTTGTGACTTCATTAAACAACAAAATGCAATTTACTAGCAGGAGAAAAAAAGAGAAGAGGGTGTGACTACTGAGAGTCAGGTGAAGGTGAGGGAGAGGGCGAGAGGGAGGTGCTCACTTTGTCAAAGCTGGCAAATCGGTCAGTTTCCCGTACGTTGTGACGAGGAGGGGAGGAGGGGGCGAAGGGGTCGGCTAAAGGATCCTTAGCAGGCAGGGAAGAGGAGGAGGCTGAGGAGGTGAAGTCTCCTGAAGGCTGCGGGAGGAAGTGCCCTCGTCGTTGGAAGGAGTCAGAGGACTCGGTTTTGGAGATTGACGATCTCTTACCTGATAAGACACAGACAGACAGACAGACAGACAGACAGACAGACGTATACAAGTGTCAGTACAGACACACAGAAGTTATAGCATATTAACACAGACAATGAATACAGATTGAATATAGCAAGTACTGACCTGGAGGTGGAGGAGGTGGTCTCGTTGGCGTACCCGTTTTGGGGGGCAGGGCTGGGGGAACATCGGTGCCGGCTGACTGGCCGTCTTCCTGGAACAGGTTCTTATTGTTGATGCCAAACTGGTCAGCACCGTTTGACTGAAAAAGGAGGTTCACACCAAATCAAAGACATATTTTTTTTAAAACCCAGACAAACACGTGGAGTAGCTACTGTTGGAGGTGGAATCACAGCAGTGCACCATTAATCAATATAATAATCAATATATTGAGGCAACATTTTTAGAACACACATAATAATAATATAATTTATGATATTTCTCATCAGAATGAGAGTTAGAGAGTCCAAGCCAAGATGTACAAGCCTTCCAACGATTTCCTCCCAAAAACCACAAAACACTCAGTCTTCCTGGCCGTTCTGGTTTTACAGCAGAAGTGAGTTCACTGTGTCGCAACAATTTCTACTTCCACTGATTTAACTCACAAGTTGATATTCAGTATTTCACACCATACTGTGTTATTTCAGCACTGTGTAGGTGAAGCATGGGGTACCAACAACAACACTTTATTACCTTTGTCAAGGCACTGAAATCTGCAAAGCCCCCTCCAAACGATTCATTACCAAACACAGCAGCAAATGGATCTGAAACACACGAGCATATAAAAGTCACTGAGCATGTATAACTGGCCACACTCATACAGACACTGTCAATAGTGTATTTTGTACAATATAATTTAAACAGCTGCAAGGGCCTCTGTCCCCAGAGGGTGGCACTATGCCACAAGTCATACCTGGATCGGAGCTGGCGTTGACTGTAGTACCACCTGGAGCAAACGGGTCATTGGTTGCTGCTGTGTCCTTCTAAAAACAGAACATGCAGAACACACAGTGCTTATTACATATTGTGCAATAAACTCTGCTGTTGATATGAACATCCTCAAACTTAATGCGATTAACTGGAACTGTAAGTGATGTAGCTTGTACAAAAATAAAACAAACACCAAATTCATATTGAGCAGAAACTACAGCAATAAAAGTATTTGCCTTTCTTAATTTGTCTTGCTTTCTAAGTCTACACTGACTTAAAAATTTAACTAGTGTCTTAATACCACTTTAAAATGTTAACTGTTCCTTTGGATTATTCTTCAGCAAGGGAGACCTTGCCAAAACAGCAGCATAAAAAGTTGCAGACAAAACAATACAGATATTCAAATAAAACAATACTCTATATTACTACAATCAATAGTATACCTAACCTACCTAACAATACCTAATATGACATTTAGTAATAAATACAAAGCTTCTGCTTGACCTTCTAATACCTATATATTTAAGGCTTTATTATTCTGTTATTTAAACAGACATTTTTAACCATATAAATTACAGGTATATTTGCATAAAACCAAAGGCCTGTTAACTGCAGCGTTTACTGAAATGATGTAAACCTCTAACAGCCTCAGAAAACATCCATGCCTGAGATTTAATTGTTGTTGCCTTATGGCCAATGAGTACATTGTGAGCAGGCTTACTCACCACGGCTAGATCAGAGCTGGGTGAAGAGGAGCTGAAGGGATCTGTCCCTCCGTCCTGAGAACCAAATGGATCTGCCTCCCCAGTGGCGTTGACTTTGCCTCCAAATGGGTCAGAATCAGCCATGTTGTTCCCTGTTGAGCTGAATGGATCCTTGGCTGGATTGATCGGTTTGGAGGTGAAGGGGTCTGGACCTGCTGCTGGTGGAGCTGCTGTGTCATTCAGTTTGGCTGCAAACAGGTCTGGTTCTGGCACGCCAGTAGTGGTACCAAACGGGTCAGCTGAGGCAGCGAAAGGGTCATCTGAGGAAAAGGGCGCGCTGGAGGTCTGTACGAAGAAAGAGTCTGCAGCAAAGGGGTCTGAACCTTTGAAGGGATCTCCTCCAAATGGATCTAAACAGCAACATATACAGAATGTGAACATTTGATATTGTAGAATTGGTACTTTAATACATGATTATGCATTTTTTAAGACATTTGGTCTGTTCATCGCTTTCAAACAGGGATGTAACTTGGACTTGGACTTAGAAATTACCTGCAACATCTGCTTTTCCAAACAGATCATCTTTGAATGGATCATCTATAAGGTTAAAACATATTGTCAATCTTTGGTACTATTGGTTCGACACATTGTAAACACATCATTCTGAAGGAAACCTTAGTATTAAGCCATTTTATTTGTAAGCTGTTCATTAAACTTTAGATATTTGTATGGACTCACGGTCAGTAAAGGGGTCTGAATGAAAGAAGTCTATCTGAGGCAGGGAGGGAGGGCTGGTCTGAGGCGGCATAGAGCGAGGGCCAACTTGAGGTGGTAACGAGGAGGTGGTGGTTTCTGGGGACTCTGCCGGCTCCTGTTTGCTCTCTGGCTCTGGCGATGCAACCTGTTGAACAGCAACAGGACTCCATTGTGTTTACACTACACATTTTGATTAGTTAAGGATTAATCCCTGGAACCCTAATGCATGCTTTGTGTGCTTTTTGAGGACATAGGCATACTTCAGTTACTCTGAGTCTTTACCTTTGGTGGGCTCTCTTTAGGTGATTCTTCTGAATCGTCTACGACCTCCGAGGAGACTTCTGGTGTGGGGCTACTGTGTTCCTGGAGACATGAGAGGACAGCCCAGCTATGACTAGTGTTACTTACATACTCTGACACTTTATAGATTATATTTTACATTTGGTAACATTCTTGGTTTTCAACAAAACATAAATTAAATCTGCTGGTCAGCTTGATGATTGGTGGGTGGTAAAGAAGAAAAAAATGGCACTGCACAGTTGTAGTAGGAAGTGATGTTGTAGGCGTTGAGTGTATTTATTACCCTAACGGTGTTCTCCTGTGGCTTGGCGAGAATCGACACATTATTGTAGATCTCAGCGGAGGCTAGACTAGTATAGAGATCATCCAAGGGATCAGGTTTCAACTTTTCTTCCTCTGGAGTCTTTGGACTCTCATCCTCCTTCTCTTCTTCCTCTTCTCTCTCGTTCACTCCTCCTTTCTCTTTTTGATCTGAATGTTCTTTCTGCTGATTACAGATTAGAGCTGGTTCTTCCTCCTTCAACTCTTTAGGCTGGTCCTCCTGGAAGAGATCCTGCTGGAAGGGGTCCCCCTGGTGCAGCTCTGCAGTGGAGCCTGCTGATCCATTGACCATGACAGGAGAGCTGTCCTGCAGGGCTCTCTTCCAGCTTAGCTGGGCAGTTACTGACCTCTCCTCCACCTGAAGGTCGTTCAGTTTCTGCTGAACCTAAGAGATCAGAGAGATGGAGAGTTTCAAAGAATAACACAGAAAAAACTAAAAAAAAACTATTATTATCATACTTACATATTTTCTTTATTTTAAGTTTTATTATTATAATTTAAAATAATTCTGGTCTTCATGTCTATTTTTATACTAAATTTATTAGTTTTTTTAAAAATTTACTTTAATTTAGTACTTTGTTGTTTATTGAATATACAATCATTTTATTCCTGGTGGAAGAGGCCAGGAGGGGGTGTAAGCAGTGATGTTGAGTTGGGGAGAAACATTGTAAAAACTGAAAATGCATTGTGTATTACTTGCAGTGTTTGGCAGTAAACCATTACTAGCAATAACATTACAGTAACACTAATTAATAATAAACTTAATAATAATAATTATATATATAAATATATATATATAAAAAATAGTAATAATATTGCAGTTATGCCCCCAAAAAATAATTACTTACAACATTACTTTTGTTGTCACTCCCTACTGATTTGAAATCCAACAGTCCAATCACATCTTTGGATTCATTTTTGTAATCGTGGAGGACACTAGCCTGGAAGATGGAAACACTTATATTGAGCAGCTGAAAATATTCACATTTCTTTGATTTTAACTAACAAAACTGGAGTTTAATTGTTGTAAGCCTGAATTTTGGTGAGAAAGGAAACAATTACCAATTTTGTGGGGAGCAGCAGAAAAGTAATACAACTAGTCGTGTAACCAATTACTGTTGGCAGGGAGTAATACATAAAGTAATAATATTACTTTTTTTTTTTTTTTAAAGTAATGAGTAATAAAGAAAGAAATTTGAGTAACCAGCCTAACTCTGATTTCATGTCTATTTGTGTACAATAAAGTATTGTTAATTGTTTTTTTGTTTTGTTTTTTCTGCAGAGAAAATAATCTTTATAAGCATTAAAGACAGATTCACACAAACTGACCTGTGCAACTTGTGTAAAGGAGTCTCGGACAGACTCTTGCAGAGGTGTGAGCTGCTCCTGAGCAGCCTGGACCTTCTCCTGCAGCCTCCTGCTCTCCTCCTGCAGAGCGAGGAGCTCCTCTCGGGCCTGGACCAGCTCCTCCTCATACTGACATATCCTCTGTTCCTGCTCCTCATGCTCCGACTGCAGCGATGAAATCTGTGACAGACGTAGCCATTACGAATAAGCTTGTTTTTACTCAGGAGAATGGACTATTACTATTTAAATTACTGATGTGCTTTGCTAGTGGTCAGTCATTCCTGTAGCTTTTCAGTATTTAAATAAATTAATATGCAGTGAAAAGAAAATCCTACCAGTTGGGTCTCTTGGTTGGTCTGCTGGCGAATAAGAGTCAGCTGCTCCTCCAGAGAGCCTTTCTGTTGGTCAAGTTCCTCGAGGGCCTCTTGGACCTTCTGACGCTGAGCCTGAAGCCGCTGCAGCTCCTCGCTCTCCCTCGCCACCTCATCCTGTAAGTCCTGCAGACATTAAGCCAATGGGGGAGACAGGAGGAAATAAGCATGTGTTTGTGTGTTCTTTCACAGGTAAAACTTAGTAAAAAGAAACAGAGAAAGAGAGAGATGAAAAGGGAACTACTGTGCTGACTAATAAAGGCGAAAACAAAAGGTCAGAAGTTCAGAATTAAGTGGAATTCACAGAGATGACTCATCAACAGAGTCACAAAATAACCAAATGTCAAGCCCACAGAGAGACCAACATCCGTTACAAATCCAAACCAACTGTTTGGTCAACTGTTTGTTAGAAGTAAGCATAGTGGTAAAAGAAAAGAGCAAGGAAACAATAATCAAAAAACATCTCCACCAGTTTCATATGTGAACAACAACAGTTTCACCAAAGCTAAATGTCGTTTTTATTGTTGTCAAACAAAATACTGCATGTAAAAAAAGGAGGTTGCATATGGGATAATAATATGTGCACATCACCTTCAGGGTGCATTGACACATTTGTGCAGATACAGTTGGTTTCTTTAGATGGACGACTAAAATGCTCCATAAAATAGTCAGAAATTTCCTTTACTTAAAACTATTTTAGTATTTTTTTCACTTTATTTAGAGATGGACAGTAGAGACAGAACACAAGGGAAGAGAGAGAGGAGGTAAGAGATGCAACAAAGGTCTCTAACTGGACTCTGAGGAAACCGTGGATGCTGCAATTGTGACCTATAGAATGCATCTTAACCACTAGTCCAAAACCCCACATATACAACTTATATAGGCGGCCTACCTAAGTAATTTACTTCCACAAACACCAAAAAAGATATTTTGTGATTTTGCATGCATTCTTCTCCTTTTCAACTATTTTTTGGAAATGCAGCTGAGAACTCGTATAGATCGGACTGCCTTCTAAAATGGTGCTTTCAAGTGCAAATATATATATACTGGAAAATTACCTCCCTAGTCAGAAATTAGCCTGTGAAACCTTCTGCAACCGACTTTTTAAGTGATGGATGTCAGAGCCAGACCTTATGCTAGACCATATAGGAAAACTACTGGGCAATGGCATGTTTTAAATGGATTTAAATAGATAGCTAATATAGGCTATATATCATATAATAGCCTACATTTGAACAGCAATAAAACACAAATGCTATGATGCAACAAATGTATTTGCATAACTGTGACAGAAACAGAGGGATGATCAAAACAGAGGACAGTGCAACGCAGAGCAACCGTGTTTCTGACCCTGGCGCTCTCAGTTCTGGTGTTACAGTGAATGCAGCAAAGTTGGCTAAACTCCTGCAACCAAGTGTGAAGTCGATCGATTAACTTTTTTTGAGGTGGTGGGAAATATCCCACACAGACAGACAGAGACTAATTTCCCATCAGAAATTTTGGCTGTTTGCTGATATTTAATTCTGCCTGACGACTATATATGACACTGGCAAAAAGCCGGCATATGCTGGCTAACATTAACCCTGGAGCTCCCCGTCATCACTGCAGGTAAAAGTCTCGTAGAGTCTAGACAGGGTAGCCACAACCACAGCGCACAATATGTGATGTCGAGGAACATATTTATAAAACACATTACAGTATAAATAGTCAAAAGCACTCCAGGCTACCCTGCAGTGGAGCTAAGAAATTCAGCTACATCAATTGAGACTCCCTTGAGATCAACCCACACACTCTTGCATCAGACAGAACTCCCAAAAGCGGAGCCGACTAGCCCTTTAAGCCATCAGCACCCAAAAATAGAGTCCATCTCTCAGGCTCAGAGCAAGCAGACACACCTACACAAGGACACCAGCCTCTCCCTCATTGAGAAACATTAACTGTGCAAATGAACAAAAGTCTAAGACTGCTGGCCAAATGAATTATTGATCTCCTCTTCCAGTATATACATTACAACAAAAGTGAACAACTGCTTTAGCACCTACGGCTCTTACCGTGTGTTTTGTCTCATCTGGATTTTTATTTTATTTTATATTAAGAAGGGACAAGCACCAAAAATACATTCATGCTTATACATGTACACTAGCTATGTTTTAACACGAGTCCCATGAAAGGCACCAATTACAGAAAAAAGAGCAAATGTCTACACGACCATGCCATCGATTCTGTCTGCCCATAAATCCTTCTTTCTCTCGGTTTCAACTGTGGGAACAAAGACAGACTGACAGACAAACAAACAGAGACAGCGGGATCCTACCTGCACTTCGTTGCTGCGCTGTCTGATGGCCTCCTCCTTCTCCTTGATCTCATCTTCCACAGAGCTCTTCTCCCTGGGGGCCCAGCACAAGAGACAGGAGTATTTAGCCACCGAGGACAGAGAGGGTAGACCTGGTACTCCAAGCCCACCCAGCCCCAGCCAGCTGTCTTCTTTACCCTGCCCCTGAACCACCATAATGTCCTAAAATCACAACTCCACAGTACAGAGGAAGTCGTCCAAATGTCTGCAGCTACAGTAGGTGTGTGTCTGTGTGTGTGTGTGTAAGGTAATATGAAGAAAGGTGCAGCGTGTGTGACACTTCAGGGCTGCAGATGCACGGCGCTGTAATCGCAACGTACAAAGTGTGCATGTGCTTGCTCTGTCAAATGTGTGGGAGATGAGGAGTGAGACGCAGATGGCAGCCTTGAGGATGGAGGGAGGAAGAGAGGGAGGAGGGACGAGTAATGATGAGCCAACCAACAGCATCTATCATTTGTGCCGCCCTTATGTTCATCCTCTCACTCTTTCATCCACCCACCTAGAGAGGAAACGGGGTGGGTGGGGTGAGGAGTAGGGATGCAGAATAACTGTTTAACTGACATTGATAAATGTGTATTTTATTTTCTGCTATTACCAATCATAAAAAAGGCACAGCAGAAATGTTTCAGTTTACTTCAAAGGTGTGCTAAGGTGTTACAGTCAAGTTGTTGATACTGCATAAGACAAACCTCATCATTAATCATGACGGATATAAATGATTATAATACGCAGGAAGAAAACCAATTCATTTTGCACCCATCCAACATTGTATTGTTTTGGATTTTATTCACATGCTTATCAAACTTTTTTAACTCAGACTTCTTAAACATATTAAAACAATTTAAAAAAGGTGCATTATGTATGTATGTATGTATGTATGTATGTATGTCTGTCTAAAATGTATAAAAATAGAAACAACACAAACATAGAGGCAAAGCACAACATCGAGGAATTGTCTTACAAATATATATCCTGACTAACACTTGGATTTAAATGCGCCTTTCAGTAAAACTGTGTCGGGAAGAAATACTGATAGGTACTGGCATTTCAATGTGTTACATTTTCAGAGAGAGATTCTAATTCTACTTGATCAACCCTCTGTTACTATTTTTGTAATTTTCCAGCAGGCTGCTCCATTGTTTTCACACATAGCTAATTACTGCTGTCTGTTCAGGCAGACAGAATATATAAATAATCATAAATAATAAATAATGTGCATTGTTGTTTCAGTTCTGAAAAGAGTATTCGTACACCATAAACAAAGATTAACATTTTAGTATGCATTATGTAAACAGGCATAAGCCTTAAAAAGTACTTATCCCTTGCCATCCCATTTCAACACCGACTGAAAATAACTGCAGCTATTTTTATATTCTCTCTCCTCTCACATCAAAATACGCTATTCCCTCGGTACCAGTACATCTTCTACCAGCAAACCAACAGTCAAGTATCACTCCCATCCCCATCCTCTTACCCATCATCATCAGCATCCTCCTCATCTTGAACTGATGGTTGCTGCCACATTTTAAAGCAGTTGCAAACATGGATCATCTTTTAAAGCTCTTCTTGATCTGCTGCTTGTCTGGAAACTGACAGAGATCAGAGTTTGATCTCTGTCAGTTTCCATTTCTCTCCATCTGTCATACCTCTCCTACCTCGAACAGCTGTCAATTAGTGTCTGTGTGTGTGTGTGCACATTTGTGTGTGTATGTACATTTGTGTGTGTATGTATCGAAAGTTAGGGGGGGTGGGGTAGAAGGAAACTCTCACTTCTCATTCTCAGCTTTCATTAACAGGAAGCTAAATTCTGTTCCTTATGAAATTTAAATCCATAACTGATACTGATAACCAGCCAACAGTGAAACCAAGAGTAAATGTAAAAGAAGAACTGTTACTGAAATCTGTAATTTGGTATTTAAGACTATGCCAAGCTAAAGCAGGTGTCCTCTGTCTTCCTGACTTTTTTCCAAATAAAAATGCAGAAGTTAATTGTTAAATAAACGTATGTGGTAAAATTATCTCATTGCTCGATGTTTTAGACCAGGAAATGATGACCAAGAAGAGATGAAAAAATAGTGTATAAAGTCTGTCACTCTCCTTCTTCCGCCTCACAACAAACAGCAGCTACATAACTCGCTTTAGAACCATCTGCTATGTTTGGTGCTATGTTTGGTAGCCTGCAGCAAAAACATATTTATTTATTTCCACTGAAGCTGTGGGTGTGAGCGCTCAGAGAAAGTCTGAGAGAGTGATAATGCTTTGTACCTTAACCAGTGTTTCCCAGTATATACACAATATATTTGGGCATCCCACCCAGTTCTCTCAGTTTGTGGGAAACACTGCATCCTGCTGGTCAGTTCAGGATACAGTCACTTTACTCTGACAGCAGACTTTCTATGTCCTGGGTTTTTATACAAAGAATGTGACCGAATGCAATTCAACATGGTTATACTGAACAATTTTTCCAACGTCTTTTTACATGCGTAAAAGCTGTGCCTCACATTAAAATGTATATTTTTGAATGATAACATTTGATGTACATCATAGTCAAAAGTCTATTTTATCATCTACTTTGGACAGTGAACATCCAAACATCAATTAGTGAAAAGTCTAAACAAGTACAGGCCATATTTAGGCTACCTCTTATCCCCACCAGTGACATAACCTGCATCAATATGGCTTGAGTAAGACTATTTATGGTTTTTACCGTTTTATTAATATAAAAAACAACAACTCACCTTTGTAGTTCGACAATCTCGTTACTGAGAGAGTCCAGCTCCTTGATCGCAGAGAAGTCAGCTGCCAGGTTAACAACGTTGTTCTGGAGAAGAAATGAGGATAAAAGAGGATTAAACCCACTTCTGAAGGTAAAACACCATAGCATCCTATACTCTAGGCTAAGAATTACCTGTAACCACACATGGAAGGTAGATTCATTTTGTAACACTAAAGACAATGGCTAAATGAAATGAAAAATCCTGGATACTTAGGACATATTACAGCACATATTACAACTATCACAACAAAAACAAATAAACAGAGCTACACTGATGGCTTTACAAAAATTACACACAAAACCACAGATGGAGACACAAAATGGAAGGGATGGAAGGGAAACAGACTTAAGAGTAATGCTACTGGGAGGATACTAGTAATGTTCAATTACATCTACTGTGTTTCACTTTAATCTGTAATATTACAAACGGTGGAGACTCCGTCTCTTTTCCGTTCTACAGAGGTAAATCAAAGAAACTTCAAGCTTTTGTTTTGAATCTACAGACTGGACATGGTGCCAACGGTGCATCCCAAAATACTTAAAACAGCAGCCTCTGCTCTTATCAGCTCACCTCCTAAATACTTTAGACAGCTAATGATGAGAAAGTCAGGGACAAATACTGATTTAAATATGATTTAATTGTAGCTAGAGCGAAACAAGATGCCAAAGAGAGGCAGCCTGGTAAAAGTAATGAGATGCCTTCGAGTTAACTACCACACACTCACTCACTCACTCAGGATCATCCCGCTGCACACGTGAAGTGGAAAAAAAGTAAAAATGTAAAGAGTAGGCACAGAGGGAACAGCATAAGGAGGAAAACAAAGACACACACCTGTTAGCTTAAAAGAAAAAATCAAAACTGCACGAGAAGAAATAATGCTAAATAATAAAAAGAAACTTATTTTTTCTTTTATGAAAATATACAAATGTAAGTCAGTTATGATAGCATACTGCAATAATAATATACAAAACATAAAAAAAGCTAGAAGTGTAGGATTAAAGACACTGAAAAAACACTGCCACATGTCTTTCTGTATATTTAACTGTGAACGAGCAATAAGACACAATTCACACAACTACTCAGCTTACTATACCTCACTTTTGCTGGTTACAACTGTACAATGTACGGTCTTTAGATCTAATAACACCATCAATCTCTTTGTTAGGGATCAGTTCTGAACTAGGTTCCCTTTAAGTTACAAAAGTATTCTCATTTTCTGTAGCGTAGGCTCATCTTCATTTCATCCATGTGTCATTGTTATTTATAGATCACATGAGCGCTCTGAGTGTCTCACCTGTTTGATGTTTTGTCTGTCAGACGGGGGGATCATCTCTGAGGAGAGACTCTGCGGAGGGTCCAGGCCTTTAGTCAGCTTCTGATTGATCAGATGGAGAGCCAGGGCAAACTGCTCTCTGGTCAGTTTCCCGATGTCTCCAATGTCACAGAGTTCCCTGAGAACACAGACAGACACAGGTTACATAAGGGAATAATGATTTACCCCTCGGGCAACGGCTATTTTTGACTGATCACCATGTTCAGTGGTTTTGGAAGCCAAAACACGCGACAGTCAAAACAGGTCAGAAACTGATCAGCCGTGTGAAGATAAAAATCCATATGATGTGATATTCTCCTGGTCGATGTGTCAGCACACACTGTACTGCTATAAAGACAGCTGCTGTTATTATCCTGCACCACTATCACCTCAGACTGAGCTATTACAGTTAAAATGACAGTCATTATTTGTTCCCTCCATAGATTATCAGAGTCATAATCATAGGCATTATGTTTCAGTGACTTCATTTGAAAAATATAGACCAGTGTGTGATTTTACATAATTTATGCACGCCAATAAAATTTAATTAAATAAAATGTATTCTTGTTTGCATTGTATTTACTTAATATTACATTCTAGTGTAACATACTGTTACTGTTGCTGTTATTTCCTTCTACTCTGTACCTATGACATCTATTACATGTCTTTCTGTCCTGGAAGAGGGGATCCCTCCTCTGTTGCTCTTCCTGAGCTTCCTTCCTCTTTTTCTCCCATTAAAAGTTTTTTTTTTGTTTATTCAAATTAAGGATAAGGATAGAAAATGTCATATGCTGTACATTTTGTGATTTGTGGAAAATATAAATATAATTTGGACTTGACAAGAGACTAAAAATAATAATAAAGTCAAAATGTTTCACATCAGTGAGCTACACAATTGAGTTTTACAGAACTAGCGTTTAATGCTGCCGAGGAGAAGGGTCCCTACTTACCAGATACGTGCGAGTGTGGCAGAGGGAAGCCCAGTCTTGAGGAAGATATCTCTGACTTCAGGTCCAGACACGAGACCATCCATGTCACTGTCTGTCTTGCTGAATAGCTCATCATACTTTGCTTTGTCGGCTGGCGACACCACCCACTGCAAAGGCAACAAAACAGACTTTCAACATGCACCAGAGTTGCTTCGTAATACAACTTAATCCAACCTATGCAGATGACGTAACACTAACTCAAAACGTACTTACCTTAAAACTCCCTCTTGTCTTTTTCTTACGAAAAACACACTGGCCTATCCAGTTTGAAATCATTTTAAATGTTTATTGTTGCAGCTATGTGGTTGGAAAATAAAGGTAGTGCATGCACAGGAGAGATGGGTCTGGTACTCACAGGGGCAGCTGCTGGTGTTGGGACAGGAGCTGGGGCAGGTTTAGGGGGGTGGGGCATGGTCTTAGAGCCAGCGTGGGAGGAGCGACTGTCTTTGACTGAGGGGGGTGAGGGTAACAGGGGCATCACGGGAGGCACCGAGGGTTTTTTCCTCTTGGAGGGAGGAACCAAGGGAGGTGGTAGGGACATGGGAACAGGCTCTCCCTCCAGAGCTCTGTACACCAGATACATCGCCTGGGAAAGGGCAACAGAAATCAATGACAAAAGGCAATTACCCATGAACCAGTAGTCATTCAGTCTTCACACTTCTTCCACATGTGTGGAATCCATTCCAGTCAGGGCTACAGAAATGATTTCCAAAGCCTGTAACAGCTTCCAAGATTGTATGTATAATATAAACACACATATATACAGAGAAACAAAGAATTGTGTGTGGAAACTTTCAAATCTATTACTAGAGCAACAAATTTCAGATAGTTAACACTAGGGAAAAACACTTTACTGAAAGCAATTGATAGAAAACCTTGACATGATTTAGATGCTGTAATATACTGAGGGAAACAGTAGAGTTGAATAAAGCAGTTAAATAACAAGCTGAAACTAACTGCAGACTATAACTGTAACCTATGTGGTTTCTTTCTATATGTGAAAGTAGCTAATTTCTTACCACAGAAAATTCATCTCTGTCCAACATGCCATCTCTGTCGATGTCACTGAGCTCCCACACCTTCAACACACACAGACATTATTGTTAAGCTTGCATCATTACAAAACTATATGATAATGGTCCCTGAAAGTCCTGACTCACTACTGGTTCTCACTTCCGCTCCAATTTCTTCCCAACTGATTTTTAATTTCACATCCTTTTTTAAAAAAAACTTTCTGCATTCTATTTTTATATAACTGACTGTTACATAAAAAAAACATTGTGTTAGCAGTAACTAACAACGCTTACTAGTTAGCTACAACAATAACTAGTAATTATTCAGTTGTTTTTAAAAGTATAGGAATTCTCTCTCTAGACATTTGCATGCATGATTATGTTTAATCACTCTGTCAATTGATTAAAGCTTTGTTTGGGGATCATACCCTGCCAAGGATGTCCACTGGCAGTTTGGAGTTGAGCAGGACAGGCTTGACTTTGTCTCCTGTTAGAATCCCTCCCACTGGACCCAGACTGTCAAATATGGAGTCAAACTTCAACTTTTCCTCAGGCTGGGGGAAAAAAACAAAACAGATGTACAATAGGATTCAAACTTGATGTAGTCCTATGTTTGTTGAATAATGATATAGCTTGTGAGAAAGTTCAACAAGCAAATTCACAAATATAAGCTGTGAAAATGAATGATTCTGCTATTGTGGGTGTCAAGCTGCACTCTGCCTTTAAAGTTTTCTAGGCACTACTCAGCAATGTTCATGAACAAACAGTGTTGACATTGTATGGCTGTAAATGTCTGTCATATTTGAGCTGACTTGATTTATTTGACATGTTCATGAACACAACATAAAAGATCAGACTGTGATGAATAATTCTATACTGGAGGAATTCTCCATCAGTATAAGGAAGACAAAGACATCAATGCAAATTACAAATTAAACATAAATCACTGTAAAGAGAAAAAGATTAACCTGTAAGTGCCTCACCTTAACGACCCAGGGAATGTCAACAGCCACTCCTCCTGCTAACAGCGGGCTGCTTGTGTCATGCTGGAGACAAACATAACTCATAAATAACATAATAAAATAATATGTTTAACTGCTGTAGTAGTAAAATAAAAAGAATAGAGCAGAATTTAAGCTGTCTGTCATAATACAAACACCTCTGACTATACAGTATTTATATATATGTATCGTAATATGGGGTAACTTCAAATCACCAGCAGCATTTATAGCATGGACAGAGCTTACTGAAGAGCACAATAACAGACTTACAAATTTGGGGGGAGGAACAGCCACATTAAGGCTCTTGAGCGCCACCTCCAGGCCATTCTGAGCACAGGCCACCAGCCGCAACGCTATGAAGAATTGCTGAGGGGCACAGTATGTGACATAAATCCAGTGATCATATGCACTTGATTCACATAAACCAAACAAATCCGCAGTGCGTTCATACCTGCTTGTTAAGAGAGCCTTTACGTTCAGAGTCTGCCAAATCCCAGATCTACGGAGAAACATTTACACATTTATTACCATTAACAATAAGTAAAAAGTAATGCTGCTCCACTGAGTCTTTGCTCACCTTCCCCAGGACCAAGTCAGCCAAGCCCGACCTCTTCAGGAACAGAGCTGCATCAGCTGCTGCCACCCGCCCACTACCAGTCGGATCAACCTGCACACAAACGCCAAACACATACAGCCGGACACACTGTCATTAGAGCTCATACCATCTCAGAAGCATCAATAATAGATCTTTACTGCTAAGAAAGACACCAAATAGGCAATAGCTTTAGACCACAACACTGGAGGAAGGCTGTGAGCACATTCTTAGCAGGGAGAGGGAAACAAATAAGTAAGAAATAAAAACTATGAGAACTGCCCTGTGGAGTAGAGAGTCTAGGAGTCACTTAAATCAATACTGATAACAAACAAAGCTATTTTCTCAGCAGTCTATTAGCTTGATATTGGATCTGTTAGTAGTCTTTCATGAGGTTCACAGCAAGCTCCCCTGACATGTTGGGCAAAGGGAAACATTATTAATTCATAGAGATACTTCCTTTACTGGACAAAGAGAGTGGAACAGACAGAAGATAAGGCAGATCACTGCTTACTGCAACACTACAGTTTAGCTAAAACTATAGTTTAAAGAGTCAGTGCAACAAAATTATAAAAAAAACAAGATGAGTATTTCTCTCTCCATCTCCTTTTTTGTACTTTAAATCAATAGCAATTTAAATCACAATACAGTAACAGTCAAATCATCTTAAAATTACAATATCAAACAATAATAATGGGCTCACTACTTAATGATAACATTTTAACCACTGTGGAATAGATACTGTTTTATAAAAGAAACCATAGGCTAATATCAATAAACCATATAATTATTATTTTTTATAAGCTATATACATACCTGACGATAGTATTTGTCATAGATGGGATTTCCACTGGAGAGCTGCTGAGACAGGAAAAAAACATTACAAAATGCAAATGTAAGTTTACAAAGTAAATCCAAACAGCGTCAACTTTTATCACACTTATAAGGACCTTTCAAAACTGTGTCCGCTCATGTGGCCTCTTTTAGGTTTCTGCATGGATCTTATCAAATCCCTAAAGAATTACCTTTAAAAGAGAATAAACGTATACTTTAAAATGCTTTCTTCAGATTCCATTTACAAGCTCAAGTGGTAAACAAGTGCCTGTTGGCTACAGTAAGTGTGCCATCCACTGAGCCAAGGCAGCTGTCAAAAAGAAGACTCATCCATTACAGATGGAGGATGCAGAAACACAGACTACAACCAATATGTTCAAATTCAGCATTAGTTTTCCTCATCATCCCCATAGATATTTCTGTCACCAAAACGGCTGAACTGTTTGTCAATGGCCCAAAACATCTGCCAGGGAAAAATGAACAGTGACTTTGATCACTGCTCAGACAAAAGGAACAAATGCAACATGTCATTTAGTTCACTGTGCCGAAGAACTACTCTCGTAAGACCTGTTTGTTAAAAGACGACACAGTGGTCGTCAACATACATTGTTGTAAGATGGCTTAACTAAAAGTAGCATGAGGCAACATGACGACTCCAGACATCACAGTATGCTACACATGTCTGATTTGGGCGGCAACTAATAATTATTGTCTTTTTTCAAATAAACTGTCTATTATTTTTTTGATTAACCGACTAATAATTTTGTTCATAATTATCGGGAAAAGTTTCCATGTTCATGTTGAGGTGTCCACATTTGCTAAGGTGGAACCAGTAAATGTTGGTATTTTTGCTTGATAAATGACTTAAACAATTGATTATCAAAGTTGCCTGCAATTAATTCTCTCAATCAATTAATGGTCTCAGCACTAGGTAAGTAATTTCAATTTGAGAAGCACTTCGACTGTGTGCTTCCTGACAATGCTGTGGATATTTTGGAGAAACACAGTATGTGTCTTAGGCCACACTTTGAACTTCGATGAGTCACAATGAAACAGAAGGTGTCTGCTGAATTGCACGCAGCGAGAATCATGACTTGTGAGCTTTCTGACTTCAAGATATAGACTGCACTTCCTCAGACTATTGATAGTCACCTTTAGATAGTTAAAGCAGGGCGTCACTCCACAGACAACAACTAATTTAACCTTGTGTCACATCCTCCCTAAACACCCTCCTTTCCTCTGTTAATACAATTGTCCGCTGCTGGGCTGAACAGGAAAAGAATCAGCATTCCCTTCTCCGTATAGCTGAAACTGGCAATTGGTTGCGTGTGCTTTTAACTCGACAGGTGCAGTGCAGGAGGAAAGGAGCGGACAGTAATTGTCTGAACTGTGTGAATCAACTGGGGAGTGGCTATTCAACCAGTGGGTAAAGCTGTCGTAATGCTCCTCCACAGAGAAACAAGCAACGTCAATCCATAACGTGAAACTAAAGCAAGAGTACAGCAGAGACCTGTTAAAAAGTCTTGTTACAGAGTTGCACATGTAGCTCGGACACAGAGGAACAGAGGAAGACTCACAAGTAAACCACAGCCTGCGATCAGCATAGTTATCCGTCAACTGACAATTTACAGCGAGATAGCTGTTCATACACACTTATCTGTCTCTGGCCAATGCAACTTATTTCTGCGAAACACAATAGTGTGCCTGGAACTGATGGTGGCTGTAACACTGTGGTCATTGTACTGGTGACACTTTAATTGAACACTGAAAAAACACCCCTCAATCATTCCCCAGCGAGCCCATACAAAACTGCAGCAGATAGCGAGATACATTACAGGGCAGGAGTCGACGGGCCCGTCTGGTTTGTTCTAGTCATTTCAAATCCCCTGATGCACCCGTGGCAATAACGCACGTCAATGTCACCAACAACACTGAGGAGAAAGTCAGTTTTGGGATTAACAAATGGTAAAACTAAACAAATGTGACCGACAGACAGATCAGTGAAGTCTCACAACACAAAGAGATCAACACAGGTTTTTAAAACTAATCTGTGGGGGTTAATGATGGTCACACACAGCTCCTGTCTGTTGTTAGTGGCAACAGGGGCTCAGGTAACAAGTCTGGGACTGTATTATCAGACATATACCTGCTAAATAACTTATTTAGTATGCAAACAAATACATTTCCACACATATTGCAGGGTTTAAATGTAGCTAGCAGCAGACTGACATTTTGTGACAGCAGTGCTGGCTAGTGGCTACTTAAGCTCACTTCCTCTTGCTGGTTACAAAACAACTGACAACACTATTTTGAGTTTTTTCCTGTTAACATTATGGACACAAAACAGGCTAACGCTGTCCACTCTTCAGAAAGGTCACGAAACAACTAACCCAGTCAGTGAAAAGCCTGTTTACTAACGATAGCAATAATAAACAGGTCGGTTATTCAGTCTGACCATATAGCAAGCTACATCAGCAGCAACGGGGAAATCCCAACGTAGCGTTATAATGTGTATAATGTGTATAATGTAACGTAACTTGCTTCATTTGTAGCGGACAACAATGTTAGCAGAAGCTCTTCTACATGACAGTAAAGCCACAACAGAGCCACACATGAGTATCTCGCATTAACATCTCTTTGGCCAGGACCAACGAGCCTGCAGCAAAACGTGATATAATAATAACATATGCCCTCCCAAAACCGAAACGAAGCTTAGCAACGTTACACGGATTAAGTTTTGATAAAGCGGCTGTAGAAACACACCCAACACTAAACACACTAACTAGCTGTTAGCTCACAGGCTAGCTAGCTACGCCCTTACGCAGTCCCCAAAGAGATTAAGGCAGAAACTTTTCCCAGTCACAGCAGGGCTAAACTTCCAAAAAGAGGGACGAGGGTCGAGGTAAGCTCGCCTTTCTGCCTGCCCGGGTTCACTAACGCTGCCGAAATGTCTCCGAGCAGCACAGGCAGAGGCCGTGAGACGTTTGCTGTCGTTATATTTGAGTTGTAAGACAGTGTTACCTGAGTAAGAGTAAGAGAGGCAGCCATAGTGTTTCTGTTTCCCACTGCTTTCATGCTGCGCTGCTGCCAGACACAGACAGAGGCCGCTGAAAAACCTGGCACTGGACCTCCGAGACAGGAATCAGACCCAACACACCACTGCAGACTTTACGCACACACATTATCACCTGCTGTCCCGTCAGCCAGGACAACACAGGGGACAGAAATAACATGAGTTTATAAAGAAACAGATTGGTTTGAGTAATGAGTTTAAGAAAAGACTGGGGCCATGAGCCGAGGAGTGTGTGGGAGGGTACGCTGGGGGGCAGTGTATCCTCCCACCAGTGCTTCCTTTTATTAATCATTTGTATTTATCATGTTTTATTTTCACCACATGAAGGTTTATGCAAAACACAGATATGTTTTCGTTATAGGTAATTTTTACATTCACAAGTGTACTTTTTTTTAAAAAAGTTGGTCAAAGCTTAAATACTTTATTTGTGAATTACTTAAAGATTTTCTTTAAATCCTTAAGACAAGTGGAAAAGAGACATAAAGCCCCTTTAAGTTAATTTTATTTAATCAATGTTCTGTTTTTCTCATTCATTGTTAACATTCACTGATGATGCCTGTTTGTTACTTGAAGAAGCTTAATAAAGTTACCACAAAAAAAAAAAAAAACCCTCTTCACGCAACCAGAAATAGACATCAGTGAGGATCATGAATTCTTTATCTGTAAATCTAAATACTGGCCACACAGTTGTCAAATTTTATTTAAATATGAGTGCAGAGATAGTGAACAATATCTACCATGTGTATGTTTTTAATTGTAGGAAGTAGAGGTTGAAGTAAAAATACTCCATAATAAGCAAAAGTCCTGTATTCAAATACTTACTAAATAGTACACAAGTACGCTAAAAGGTCCTTTTCACAACGTTTACTATTATATTATTATTACTACCATTAGATAGAGCTAATTTTAACTTCTCACATCTCAGATCATGTGTTGTATGTGAAATCTGAAAGTAACTAGTAACTAATAGTTGTCTGCATAGATAAATGCAGTGGAGTAAAAAACTACAACATATCCCTCAGAAATATTATGGATATAAGTATAAAGTATCATAACATTAAATTTAGTGCCTGTCCAAGTCCAGCACTTCTATAAAGTAACAATTAAATCAGTTGAATGAACAAGAAAACAAGTAATGCTACTAGAGAAACACTCTACAGGTCTGTGTAATCCATTAAATGAAATAACTTTAAATATAACAACACAAAACTGAAGAGAACGTCTGTTTTCTTCTGGTTGTTTTATTGGACAGATCACCTGTCTTGGTTTTGTTTTTTTACACAGCAACATGAAAATCATCCCACTTCAATTACTACCATTAGTACAAAATGTGTCTTTTACAAAAGGATCATCTCTCAGACTGTTGGGGACAGTGTGTTGGGTTACAGCAGTGCAGAGATATTAGCATTATAAATGAGGAAACTGGTTGTGTACGCCAACTACAAGTAAACCTAAAGTGAACACGTACCAAATGAACGGAAGCTTTCCTGCTACTGGAGTGCTCTTTAATGTACATCTGAGTTTGAGCACAGTTTATTTAGACACAGAAGACTACAGTATGTGCATTGAAGTGAAAAAGTGTTAACTATACAGTACAAAACTATGTGAGGGATTTAATGTTAGAGCACCCCAAATTACCATCCTATGGACGATGGCTTTATTGTCAAATATAGTCAACCCTGATGCACTCGTCCCCATGCTGTTAACCCTCGTTTGAATTAGCGGTTTAATTAAGAGCAGGCGAGATAACCTGCATGATGATGCCCGACCCTGTCAAATCCTTTGAGATTGACGTAGCTTTATAAGGGGACCGCGAGGGGATCTTGAGACAAAGAGATATGACTTGACTGCAAAAGATTAACAAAAAAAAACCCCTAAAAAACAAAAATGTGACACAGATTAATAAGACAAACATGAGGTAAACAAAACATTTCCATTGTATCATCCACAAACCAAACATAGCTTCTTTTTTTTTCATGTCACCACAACATTATACTTCATAAAAACCCAGATTTTTGCTGAACACAAATGATTTGTATATTTCTGTTGGGTATAAACTGCGAAACAATTTTAATTTGATGATCTCCTGTCTTGGCATTCGTTATGACATCTTCATTTTTTCCCTATTACTATTCCTCATTT